TCGAGGCGAGAAACGACCGTTTAAAAAATCGCGGCTGACCAAATCGGTTGACCGAAGAAATAATCGGTCGACCGAAAATACCTTCGGTCGACTGACCGAAAAATTCGGTCGACCGCGAGCAGCTAAGGAACTTTGGAAAAACAAGCAGAGCCTCATCGGTCGACCGGCACGGTCGACCGATTAAAGATTGAAAAATTCGGTCGACCGTACCGGTCGACCGACGACACTCTGGAAACATACTAAAGAAAGGTCATCGGATCCGCATTTCTGATATTTTCTGAAATCTGATTTTTGACCAACTTGAAATATTTGCAAAATATTTATTTGACCTCTGAAAATTCTGAAACTTTGTAAAATGTTTTTAATACTAAATACAAACTGCTTGGAAAAAGAATTTTGCAGATAGGTACTCATACTTGTGAAAAATAGTATTTTATGAAAAAACGCTTAAAAGCACAAGTCTAAAAACGTGTGTGTGATTCCCAATAGCTTCAAGTAAACTCAGTAACTCTTTGCCTACATTCTAGCACTAGAGAGAAAAAACAAAAGAAAGCTAATATCCTCAAATAAAGAGCGATATACTTGAGCTTTGATATAGCTTGAATCGGATGAAGCTTTTGATCGAATTTGTCGTTCTTGAAATAACGTTGCTTTATCTCTTGGCCTCCTCCTCCTTTGGATATCTTCGTTGTAGCATATATTTCATCCATCCTCCATTAATGGCACTAACGAGCTTGACAAATGAGTTTACTACATTTACACTCAATAAGCCATTAGTACCGATCATGGTGGTTGTAAGAACATCATCAAAACATAAGGGCTAACACTACGTCTCCGCTCCCCACTCTCGAGGAGAATCTCCACTGTCACAACTGGTTTTTAATGTTCACCGAAAATATTTACAACTCACACAATCGGTTTTCTACCTCACCGAAAACTTTCACAACTCACACAATTGCAATCACATAATACACCCTCTAAGTGTTGGCCTAGCCCATATCAATTTTCTCAAGTGTTTGAAATTATCACCTCTTTCTAGGCTTTACTACCAACATCACTCATATTGGAATTGACTCCGTCTCTCACCAATCACTCCTCTTGGTTTTCTTGTGTATTACAATGTGATTTTTCAACAATTTAGTGCAAATAAAAAGGTTTGTTCTCTAACAAGAATGAGAATAATATTAAGCTCACACTCAATGAATCGCTCACCATGATCCAATTATACTATATGTGAAAATACTTAAGCTCAATAGGTTGTGTGTGTAATCAAAAAGTAAAAAGAAGGATAAACTTAAATCAAACTAGCATAAGTATATATGAACCAAAGATATGAATAAGCTAGAAGATAAGTTTAGAAAAACTTCTCTGAAAACAAGAGAGATCGAGATATGAAAGTTGAAGCTCAAAACCGAAATGATCTCCTCCTCTTGTAAACCTCTTTTTGCATAAACTAAAACACACTTAAACTTCTTAAACAAACTCTCAAAAACTTGTAAAACTTGTTCTAAACTTCCATGACAAAATCTAAGTGTTGATGACTATATATATAGTCTCTCAATATATCATCCCAAGCCAAAGGAAAGCACAAAAAACGAGGCAAAACCCCCAAAAATAAAAATCTAGAAAAAAACTAGCCATTATAAAATGGCACACTGGTCGGTCAACTGGTGGCACTCTACCGGTCGACTAATATATTGTTTATCGAAAGGAAACATGCACAGCAAATTTGGCAGATCCTGAAATTTTTGCGTAACAGGATTTACAAAATCAATTAAAAATATCACATCAACTCCAAAAATCATGAAATTTTTAGAGAAGTATCTAGACATGTAGGTAAACATTTTATAGAAATTATTTCTGAAATGTCACTTTCTATATGTGAGAAATAATTATTTTAAAATAGTTATGTTAGATTCTGCTGAAACACTTGAGTTTATAAAATCAATTTACCATAGTAAATCAACTCCAAAAATGATAAAATTTTAAGAAATGTTTATAAACATGTAATATAACATATTAGAAAAGAATTTATCAATTTATATTTTCCATTTGTGAAAACTCATTTATTTTGCAAACGGTTAAACAATATGAAATCGTCAAAACTTGATTTTGATGAAATCAATACAAATAAGTTTTGAAACACTTTTTAATAGATTAATAGACTCGAGAAAAGATATAAAATAGTGTAAACAAGTCTTTAATCCATAAACACATTATTTTCCAGATAAAGATGATAAATATGAAATGAATATATGTATATATATATAAGCATATCGATTACTTTCATATTTATATGGTTAAACTTGAAAATGATAAACCAAAAATATGTATACATACTAGTTTCATATTTATTTGATAAACTTGAAAGCTATAAAAATGAAAATGTGTATGTGTGTAATATTTGAGCTTTAAAGTATAACACACATGGTATAAGACCTAAACTAGAAACAATATACCCAAGCTTAGAAATTTTCGTGAAGCTCGATCTTGGTAACGGATAAAGAAATAATTAATCTCGACTTGAATGCGCAAAGCTTCATTCATATTTTCGCCAACCTCCTTAAGATATCATCGTGAAGGTGCAATCCAACCAACCTCCAACATCGATGTTTGTCTAGAATACCTAATAAACAAGTACGAACACTAGACAAACGACCCCGTCGACTCATCAAGCTAACCTTCTTTCAAACCGACACGAAATGCGTGATCAATAGACCCTATCACCGAGGACGACCCACTTAGGGCACTCGATCACTCACTGAGCAATTCTCGGAGACGACTTGAGGGACATTCCATGTTGTCGGCTAAGTTGAGGACTCGACCCCGGCCTCAAGCCTCTCCCCCAGAGCATATGTCAACATTTCAGTCCACATCGAACAAACCTTATCTAGATTTTAGCCTAATGGTCTCCATGACTTATCAGTTGCCCACGTGCCTCCATGACTTGTCAATCACTTCCCAGAAAATACGGAGACACCCTCTTCCATGCGAAGTGATTTCCCCTCCAGTCGCCAGCCGACACCTGTAAAGCAAGGGATGATTAAGTATGCCTATGTGCCTTTTGCTACGCTCTCAATCACTTCTCAGAAAATACAGAGATACCCTCTCCCATGTGAAGTGACTTCCCCTCTAGTCCCCAGCCGACACATATAGAGCAAAGAATGACTCGCCTTTCAGCTCACACTTTGTCATCGCCATTTACATGGTCGAAGTGACCAATCTGTCATAAACGTTCTCTCTATATACAGATGCTATTCGCCATAGCTAAAGGTTCGCAATCTAAAACTCCCAAAAGCATACATGGAACAAAAACAAGAACACACAGTTCTTCGTCTAGACAGAGGAGCTCACGTAGATCCTCTGGGCAGAGACATTGCCACTTCAAGAACCACATTTGTTCCTGACCTTCCCCTTCCCCACTTGAGTTTTACTAACTTGACCGTCGGAGGAACCACGGGGGAATCGGTCCCCGCCCACTCACGGGTTCTTCTTGTCTGTGCAGCATGGACATCGATCCCTCGTTCAAGAACTAGGCATAAAGTTGAAGAAGGAAGCGGCCCCTCCATCACTCTCCCCTACCACGTCCCGGTGAGGACTCAAAGGGGACCAATCCCAGTCTGGATCCAATTGGTAGTGTGATATTTAGCATCAACAAGACATATTCCAACGGGAGAAGCCAGATCTATACGATATTATAATTATACAACTTGATTATTTAATCATTAGTAGTTTTAAATAATGCAAGCAATCTTAAAGATATTTCTTAGAGTATGCTTGAAATTGTTCCTAGTGAAGAGAAGTTAAGTGAACATAAGATAAATTAAGTAAGTTAAGATAACATACAATACTTGTTTCAAATTTAATAAGGAGAACGTAGAGAATTTATCTCACCCTGTTTGAGAAGTTCAATAATGTGTATGAAAGTTAAGGGATATATATAAATTTACATAAAGTAATTTTATATGTTATTTCACTCATTTAGATCTCATCTTTATATAAGGATAAAATTGTCTATGTGTAATGTTCTCTTTTTGACCACCCCAACCCTCCCCCCTCCCTAACCAACCAATTTGTAAGGGAATAAAATCTCAAGTTTTTCCCTCTTAGTTATCTTAACTATCCGCCCATTATCTACCTTCAATGGATTTTCAAATCTATACTGTACTATATTATAAAAAATCAATTATGGGTACCATAAGTTTGGATGATCTTGGACATCACCATTTAAAAGAGAGGGGCATAATGGTAATATTGTGGGTCAAAGTGAGCAAGCACACACGTGTCAAAGTTTCAAGCTCTTTTGAGGTGGGTGTTGACATGTTTTTACACATAGACCCCTTTAGCAAATTTTATTTGCAATGATCAATACATTTTATCCTCCATTCTTTCCCCTCTATATATAGCACAAAAAATAATTTTTTCATGTAGAAAAATTATAAGAAACTTTTGCTAAAATTTGTTAAATAAAAAACCAATATTTATTTAAATGAAAAACCAATAAAAAACCAACATTTATTTACACATAGACTCCTTATTTTGTGTTCACGTACATGCACTTTAGACAATATTCTTAGTTATTCTTAAGTCATACAATTGAGTATTCACAACATTAACCTATACATTGCATCACAATTAAAAGTTTTAAAGCTCATATTTTATAATAAGTCGTGCCAGAATTCTAGTAGAAATAATGTGATCCCTATCTTCTCTTACCTCGCATTAGCTCCATTCCAAAGAGGCCCTTAACTCCCTCTCACCTTATATTTCTATCTAAATGAGGCTATACTGACACGAATACCCTAAAACATAGAGATTTTCGACCTTAAAAGTATAGCTTAGTGTAAATATCTTATATTAAACTGTTGTGCTCTTAATTTTAATGATGATATAGACCACGGCCTTTTGCCCGTCATAAAAATAGAGCCGTTAAACTATGAAAAATTACTATAAGATATTATAATCTTTTCTATAAATAATAATAATAAAAACGACGGAAAAGGAGTAACAGTAATTATATCAATTCACAAAAAATTATCATCCAATATTTTACAAAGGAAAAGGAGTAACAATAATTCTGATCTCTCTCTGCTACTGATGTAAAACAGTAACTACAAATTTCTATCATATCTCAAATTATCAATTCCTATAAAGAATTGAGATCAATTCTTGGCCTTTTCGCAACAACCTGTGTGGGCGCCGGCACGTGCGAGTCACACCTCGGACACCTCGGATTCGCCTTCGATATCAACACGTACATCAAGCAAATCGGACATCCAGCCGCAATCAGACTCCTGGACGAATCTGAGCCGTCCGTTTCCTGATCCGCACCCCTCCTCTTGATCGAGGAGGACGTCGTCGTTGAAGACGACGACGAGGGCGAATTCGAGCCGTCCGATCTGGGAGGCCGGCCTTTGCTTTGAGATTCGCGCTCCGCGCGCTCGAGCGCGGACCGAACCTTGTCCAGCGTGCACACGCTCTGGTAGTTACGGTCGGCACCGCGAGGGGCAGATGGTAATAAAAGTCTCAGGTCGATGGCAGAACTGTCCACCTGCGTCGGAGGCAGGTTAAGATCTTGTAACTCGCGGTGCACCGGACCGCTCTTTTCCACATACGTCTCTCCCGACTGCAATCATTCGATTCAGTTAATAAAATTCGGTAGGTAATATTATTATTTTTTTCGCCTTTCCACAAATTAACGGAAAGAAAGAATTACCAGTAAATCGAGTCGCCGTTGGAAGCCGGAAGGAACTTTGAGATCGAGATCGAGCTCCTTGGATCCGGTCACCGCACAACCAAGAAAGTCGCGGGTGACGAGATCGCCACGCTTGCTCTTCTTCTCGTCGTTGTTGTACTCGCTCATGATTCGAATGACAGAGCTCACATCGGCAGCCATTAACGAATATATTTTTAAATTATAGCAATAGATAAGAAATTTTGTGAGAGAATAATTGGGTTTCGAATGATGAAGGAGATTGAGATGAGGTATAAATAAGGGAAAAGGGGGGGATTGAGATTTGAAGGGTTAGGAGCAATTAATGAGGGGGGAGAAATCTGGGGATGGAGTCTTAACTTAATTGTTTTAATTTATTAAATTTTGTGGGGAGGATTTTATTAGAGTGAGTTGGGAATTCAAGTTTGCATTTAATGAGGAGAGAGAGTGTGTGCGCGGGGATGTGAGTCTTGTGTATACAGTTGTACGCCTGGTGAGATTTTGTGGCCCCCTTTTACTGCTACTACTCTGAAGCATGCGTGTGTTGGAGATTCATCGCACGAGAAGTCGTGAGAATATTCAGAGTTACAGTAGTGCGGATGAGTCGGACGATATGGGATCCAAAAAAGTTGCAATACAAATATTTTCCCCATGTTACAGTCCAGATTTTTTTTTTTTTGTAGCAAGGGAAACATTGTCAGTCCGCTCAACTTTAACTCCTTTAGAGTTCGCCATCGGCCCTAGTTCGAATCCCACATCCATCGCACCCCATGTTATAGTTCCCGCCCCCCACGCTGTTATTAGTCCAGATTTACTTCTAGTTAAAACACGCCTAAATCATTTCAAGAGAGACTTGATGGTAAAGCGGTTACTTCTCATTTTGATCGCTGTAAGGTGACTGTTGTCAACTCGTAATCGGGTGAATCTCATTTGACAAAGGGAGTCGAGCACGCTACACTAGCTAACGCTGACTCGTATCATAGATTTACATCCTTTACAGAGTTAATTAATTCCTCAAATAATTAATCCCATGGACCGTGAGAGTTAGTATATTTCAGTTTTGCGCGAGTAAACCAAATTTTAAAAGAACATTGTACTTCTTAATGTCTATTGATAAGATCTTGTGTCACAGTAATAGAGCTCACAACCATATTAAGTTTCTAGAATGATTCTCTGAGGAAGAAAATAGAATTTGATTTTAAAGCTCAGGGGTCATATACGCTGCTATGATCAATTAATTAAGTTGGATTTTGAATATATTATGACTGCATTTTGAGGATATATTCTTTGCCGAGAATCAGACATTGACGTCACAAATTTGATTGTCTCATTAAACGTCTGAAAAAAGAAGAAATTATCAACATGAGCTGTATAACTGCTTTACATAATGCAAAAAAGAAAACAACGACTCATGAGAAAAAGAAAAGTTATTTATTACGAATCACATGCTATTTGCAACGATAATTACGTAATCTAATTGATTTTTAGTGGTTAGTAATGACCAAATTAAAGCAAGCAAGTATTTTCCAACTACATAAAGAACGTAATGAATAAGAAGGCCAACTAATTAATTAAGCTCTGCTCCTTGAACACGTGGAGCCAAAGAGCTTTCACAAATCTAACTCTTAAATTGGCTTTAATGCTCCACCTCTTTTACTGTTTTTGTGTGGCCGTGAGGAGTTAATGTGTAGTTATGAGAAGTTGAGAAGCTCAATCAACCAACTTTAAGAGTGCAATTAATTCTCATCTAAGTAGCACTGGTTATATAATTTAATGGCCTCAATTTATTAGACACCAACCCCACTATGCAAAAATATGATAAATTTCCTTGTGGGAGAATTACAACGTTGGATGCCATGGCCAAAGTTTTTTAGGTTCAACAATTTGAGATGATGAGGAGAGTAAATGCTATTAATTCTTTCACCTAATGAATTGAAAGCATGGAGAAAGATCTTGTAGGTACAGGGTTTTCTCTACATGTAATTATTCTTTCACTGGATATTCTTTTAAATTCGAATGGTTTGAGCTTTTAGAGTGTTTCAAAGTATTGAAAGAGAATGGGTATAATTGAGCATGTGTTTGTCAAACGTAATTAAGAATCTCTTAAAACTACCTCCTCTATCCTTTGGAACGACTTTAGAAATTCTTTTTCTCATAAAAAAGAATGATATTTTGTTGGTTGTAAATTTTTAATGCTAAGGTAGGAATTTTCCCCTAGTCAATTAATCGATCCT